CAGCAATTGGGAGGCAGAGGCAAGTGGATCTCTGAGTTCAAAGCCAGCCCCATCTACAGAGTGAGTTTCAGGACAGCCAGGGGTACACAGAGAAAGCCTGTCTTGGAGAAACAAACAAAAACAAAAAGAAGGGGCTCAGTTTCTGTACACCTTCACTTCACATGTCTTTGGTGGTGGCCATCTGACAGGTTCAAGCTGATAGGTCATTGTATTTGATTTGCATTTTCCTGTGATAAGTGATTTTAGACATCTTTTCATAAGCTTATTGGCTATTTGCAGACATTCTCTGTCTAGTCAAGCCCTTTGTTCATTTGCATTTTGTTAAGTTGGGTGATGTTGTTACTGAGTTGTAGGAGTCTGTTAAGTTCTCTGATAATTGACCCCTTTTAAATGCATGGTTACTATAAGCAAGATACCATTGCTGTTAGGATGTCTTGGAGTGGTACTTCTGTTTTTTTGGGGAAGTTGTATAGTTTTAGGCCTTTAGTTGATTTTGACGTAATGTAGCTACAGCAATCTTGAGCTAATGATCCTCCTGCTGTCCCCACACAAGTGCTGGGCGTGCAGGTGTGGACCACCACACTTGACCAACTTCCAGTTTTTGATTTTTGTTCTTAACCCAGAATGGCCTTGAACTCACCAAGCAGAGGAGAATGACCTTGAACTCCTAATCCTCCTGCCTCCACTTCCGAGTGCTGGGATTACAGGTACAGGTGTGTGCCCAATTTGAAGTACTTTTTCTGATTCCACTTATTCTTCTTTTATGTTCTTGGTCTGTGGTTATCATTGTGTCATTATCTAACTGCTGACTCACAAGTTTGCCTCTTGTAGTTTGTATCCCCCCCTTTTTTTTTGATATCTCTAGTTCTATAATAGCAACTTGATGCCCACAGCTGAACACCTCCCTTCCTTCACAAAACACATGAGTTTTGTGCACCTGTTTGGTACTCATGCATTCTTTCCAAGACAGGTCTTACCTTTAAAACCTTTGTTTGCTCTTGTGCTTAGACACAGCATAAGTTTTTACTTCAGTTTGTCTCTGACATCTGATCTGCCACCTTCCTGCCGGTCAGCCCAAATTGGCTACTCACTGTTCCCTGCATATGAGTGCATACTGCTGCCACCACGCCTGTGCTCCAACCATTTCCTCCTGCCTTTGGGATGCATTTTATTGTCTTTACAACACACCTGGTTTCAAGCAAACAAACATTTATTGTGTGTGTGCACACCCCAGTGTGTGTGTGTGTGTGTGTGTGTAAGACAGAGGACCACAGAGGAGTCAGTTTTTCTCTTTCCACTGTGTGGGATCCAGGTATCAAACTCAAGTCATCATATTAGCATTAAGTGCCTTTAACTCTAGAAGATGGCCTTCAACATACTTTAAGATTAGCTGGGTGGTGGTGGTGCACTCCTTTAATTCCAGCACTCAGGAGGCAGAGGCAGGAGAATCTTTGTGAGTTTCAGACCAGCCTGGTCTATAAGAACCAGTTCCAGGACAGCCTCCAAAGCCACAGAGAAACCCTGTCTCAAACCCCTCCCCCCCAAAAAAACCCAACATATTTTAAGATCTACTTTGAATGTCATCTTTTCTACTAAATATGAAAGTGGTCTGTGCACTATGATCTTTTAAATTGTTCAGTCCTTTGTGATTTGACCTCTGTTCATTTAGAACAGCAAATTCCCAGAATTGGGGTGCATGATGTGAAACTCCCAAAGAATCAGTAAAGAAGTTAAATTAAAAAATAAAAAGAAGGAAAGAAAAGTGAGTGCTGTGTACCAAGGCACTCCCTGGGGGAGTCCTGTGATTCACCACATACTCATGGAATCACTTCTTCCTCAGATAGGAGTGTGTACACACTTTTGTGCACATTATTTCCCTTCTGTCTTTCACTTAATGGTTTGTTGTTGTTGTTTGTTTTTCACTGTGTGTGTAGAACTGCATAACCGGTGTCACACAGGGGACCTCCATAGTGGAAAGAGTTGGCCTTTAAGCTTTAGTTTTGATGTATACCAGTCATGTGAACTTCAGTAAACCATCTCATTGTTTTCCAAACCTGTTTCCTGGTCTATAAAGCAGGGATGATGTTTAACTTACAAAACGATGAAGTCTAAGTTAGGGCTAGGGGTGATGTATAAATTCAAATGCATGTCTAACATTTTTTGTTTGGTTGATTTTTGCTTTTTTTGAGACAGGGTTTCTCTGTAGCTTTGGAGCCTGTCTTAGAACTCACTTCATAGACCAGGCTGGCCTTGAACTCACAGAGATCCACCTGCCTCTGCCTCCCAAGTGCTGGGACTAAAGGCGTGCGCCACCACTGCCTGGCTTGTCTAACATTTATGAGGCTCTGGGTTCCATTCCTGTCACCTAAAGGGGGCAGGCAGTGTTGAGATGACTAATGTGGTAAGCCTGCTTGCCACCAAGTCTGTACAACCTGCGTTTGGTCCCCTGGATCCACATGGTAGAAGGAAAGAATGGACTCCTGAAAGATAGCCCCTGACCTTCACATATAAATAAGTCTTCAGCAAATGGTGTAGGGGCTAAATAAATAAACGAGTAAAGCAGGGACACTTGCTGCCACATTCTGTCCACAGATCTGCCACAAGCAGTGAAGTGACAGCAGAACGAGATGGGTCTAACGGCAGAGTATGGAGGGCACCTCTCTGCTTCCCGGAGTCAGGTTTGCCAGCCACAGGTTCTGTCTGGAGCTCAAGAGCAGCAGCATCCTGGCCTGCAGGGGCGTCTTCACATTGTGCACAACATATACCACTTCTTCAAAATAAATAATACATGATTTCTTCCTGTTGTTGTCCTGCTCGCCAGCTCCTCCATGGTTCCTCCCATATCGTCTCAGAATACGGCCTTAAAAATCCCAGCACTTGCACTTGGGAGGCAGAGGCAGATGGATATCTGTGAATTTTTTTTTTTTTTTTGGTTTTTCGAGACAGGGTTTCTCTGTAGCTTTGGAGACTGTCCTGGAACTCACTTTGTAGACCAGGCTGGCCTCGAACTCACAGAGATCCGCCTGCCTCTGCCTCCCGAGTGCTGGGATTAAAGGCGTGGGCCACCAACGCCCGGCGGATATCTGTGAATTTGAGACACAGAAAAACCCTGTCTGGAGAAAACAAAACAAAACAAAAAAATGAAGATCACAAACCAGGCCATGGTGGTGCATGCCTTTAATCCCAGCCCTGGGAAGCAGAGGCAGGCAGCTCTCTTCGGGAGTTCAAGGCCTGCCTGGTCTACAAAGCAAGTTCCAGGACAGGCTCCAAAGCTATAGAAAACCTGTTTTGAAAAAAAGAAAAAGATTAGGGAGCCTTCAGCTGTCAGCACAGATGAAGTTCCTAACCTTACCTCAAATGACCAGCCTCTTCCTCTATAGCCTCTGTTTTCCTAGTGTCCTGTGCAGTGGACATTTGCCAGTATTGATCTGATCGGCCTTTGATCTCTTCTGGGAGAAATTTCACAGGGTGGCGGTGGGGAACAAGACTTGTCTCACAAGGAGACACAGAGAAGTACAGGTCCTCATTTTCCCTGCTCTGTGACACCTGGGCTCTGTGAGACCCACTGCAGTGAGGGCTGTGGAGGCCCAGGACAGGTACAGTGATGCTGTCTTCATGCTATAGTGGCTGTGGGGTCCCCCCAGGCTCTTCCTTTCATTGTCTTGAACTGAGGCTCGAGCTCCCTCCCTCCCTTGGCACTGGCACAGGTTCAGTGCCTCTTGTTTCTAGCTCTTGTTGGGTCTGTGAGGTTACTCATTGTTTGCCTAATGAACTTCCTTTTTGTTTAAAGGAACACAGTGAATTCTGTCCATTGCACTTATGGAAGCCTTAGCCGAGGCTATCTTCTAGGATGTAGTGTCCCCTCACATTTGACTGCCCACTTTCCTTCTAAACTGGTCAAGGTTCCTGTCACCTCTGGTAACTTCTGCTCTATAAACTAGAACATGCTTTATCCCATTCTTGATCTGTTTGACTTTTTCCCCCTTTTTTCAGTATTGGGGATCAAACCCAGACCTTAAACATGTTGCATAAGCATTCCACTGTGGAGTCACACCTCAACCCGGATATCACATAGCCCCTCGTTCAGGTTGGATTAGCTACTCAGTGTTCCCCTGGAATCTTCTGTCTGTCTTTGGTTATAATAATTGTCACATCAATTATAACTGTCTATGTTCCTTGGAGATAGGCTAGTATTGATTGGGTATCTGTGTCTGGAATAGTAATTATGTTAAAGTTTTTCTTGTTGAGGAATGAGAAACTATTGATTACATACTAATATCAAAACCGTCTACTTGCATGTTTTCTCTGATAAACTAGATGTGTGAGAGCATAGATCATTTTCTTCATCTTTGCCTTTTATTTTATAACACAGCCATCAGCTACCCCCCCCCATCCCCTTTGGTTTTTCAGAGACAGGGTTTCTCTGTGGCTTTGGAGGCTGTCCTGGAACTCGTTCTTATAGACCAGGCTGGTCTGGAACTCACAGAGATTCACCGGCCTCTGCCTCCCGAGTGCTTGGGATTAGAGGTGTGTACCACCAACGCGCAGCCAGCCGTCAGCTCTTAGAGTGCTAGATTCAAGAATGATGGGCACAGCTGTCTCAGAATTTCAGTTCAACAGGTTTTCTGTAACAAAGTTTCTTCTTTGCCCCTGTATGTAAAAATGGAGTAAAATAGGGTATCAGAATGTGGTCCATAATGATTGGCATTCTCAGTTCTGACAGGGTCTGATCAGTATCTGTGCTCAGTTAGTGTCGATGACAGATGCTACCTCAAGTAAGTAGAATTCTTAGCTGAGTCACTGACAGTGTTAGTATCAGGAACAGATATGTGTGATATGGTTATTGGTTAATAGAAAGTTTGCTGAGACTTGCTGAGGCCTCTCCTATTTTATTTCATACGTGTATGTGCACGCACGTGTGTGCGTATGTTTGCATGCATGTGCATGCATGTATGACCTTATTTTGCACTGGCTCACAAGTTTTCTTCTTTGCTTTTTAGGTCCAAGATAACTTTGACAAGATTGAATTCAATAGGATGTGTTGGACCCTCTGTGTCAAGAAAAACCTCACGAAGAGTCTGCTGCTAATTGCAGAAGATGATGCATTCAAAGTGTGGGTCATTTTCAACTTTTTGTCCGAGGACAAGTATCCATTAATTATTGTGCCAGAAGAGGTAAGGGGAGTTTGTAGATGTCGAGTCACTGAGTAGAACTGGCCTGCAAACATTTGCAGGGACAGTGAGACTCTTCCTCTTGGAACTGCTGTGATACCCAAGGCACATTTGTTCAGTACAAGGGACAGCATAATTTTCAGTCCTTGTGGAAGAACTGGCTAATGCTCTGTGGAAAACACATAGCATCCAGAATGTTCCTTCACTATGTTAGTAGGTACTACTATTCCTGTTCAAAGTCTAGGATGATGGCTGTTTCCTAGACCTCTCAAAGCAAAAGGAAGCACCACCTTTGCTGGTTTTGTTCTGTATTATTCCCCCTGAACTTCCAAAGTGTGGCTAGCGGGGAACAGGAATAAGGTCTCTGTGCTGTTTTCTGGGAACCAGTGATGCAGGAGAGGTTTGACCAGATAAGGATCTTTCTGAATCAAGATGACAATTTCCTGTATGAGGTGGCCACATTCAAGATGTCATGATTATGATGTTATTGAGTCCTGTGGCTGAACCTTTGGATCACAGAGTTCTCTGCAGAGCACAGCTAACCGGTCTGTACTAGATAAGGCCATAGCCAGCAGATTAAATTTGTATTCTCTTGTTCCCTGTTCATTCATGATAGTGCCTGGTTGTGGGGAAGCACAGGCAAGTTTCAGTCCTGGGCAATTAGAGGTAGCCTAATGCTTTTGTTTAAAGCATGGACTTTGAAACAGACTAATTGGAAACTGATGTTACCACTTACCCACAGAGCAACAAATTAATTTCCCAATCTGGGTCTCCCCAACTTTAAGATGGAGACAGTTGTTTTGTTCAGTGCACCCTGTGAGGCTGAACAAGTTGACACATGTGAGGCATTTGATGTAGTGCCGTGATACATGCTCACTAAAGAGATGACAAGTTGATGAACAGTGGGTACATGATGAGGATATAGCATGTTTGGTGTTGTAGGTAGACTATCCTTGTGGAAAATACACAGATAGAGCTTGTGAGAGGCCGGGGTTGGAGAGAGACATGGAGAAACCGTAGGAACTGGTTAGGGCAGGGAGGAAGCCACCATACTAGGAGTTGTGAGAGCCAAGGAGAATCTTGGGGCTGTTTCTATAGCAGCAGGAGGAAGTAGATTTGGTAAAGGAAGCAAAGCTGGGCAGGGTATAAGATAAGAGACACATCAGAATTTTAAATTGCAGATAGTGGTAAGAAGGGGCCTCTGTATTCAACAGTAGGTAGTGTGGTAACAAGGGAAAGACAGCTTCTCTATAGTAGTGGAAATAGCTTGTTAGTGTTAACTATGGTAATGCTTTAGGTATCAAGTATGTACAACTGTTAAGGGAAAATAGAAGGCAACATCTTAGAGCACAACCCAGTATATTCCAGGGATGGAGTGGGATAATGGTGGCCTAAAAAGCACAGACATGGCTGCTGCTCAGAGCTGTGCACACACTACTTGCTTCCTTCAGAAGACAGCTTTATTATTATTACCACTATCACTGTTATCACTTTATGTGTATGGATTTTTTGCTTGCATGTGTGTCTGTGCACCACATGTGTGCCTGGTGCTCTCGGAGGTCACAAAGGGCACTGGATTGCCCAGAACTGGGGTTATGGAAAGGTGTTTGTCACCATGTGGGTGCAGGCAGCAGTCTTAGCTGCCAAGCCATCTCTCCAGTCCCACACAAGATTTCCATGCTTTTTTTTCCCAGACAAGGTCTTTCTACAGAGCCCAGGCTATCATGAAACTCACTATGTAGACCAGGCTGGTCTCAAACTCAGAGATCCACCTGCCTCCACCTCCTCAGTGCAGGGACTAAAGGCATGTGCCACCATGCCCAGCTTTCCAATTCAGTCTTTGAAGGTATTTTTGCAGCCATACTCAAAATTCCAAGTTTATTCATGTGTTGGAATTAGAGGTGGATGGGTCTTTTATCCTTGATCTTTTGAATTTTTCTGTCACTAAAATATCTGTGGTGGACCTGAAGGCTTTGCTGTGTAGCCTTGGCTGTCCTAGAACTGGCTCTGTAGATCAGGGTGGCCTTGAACTCACAGAGATCCACCTGCCTCTGCCTCCCTAGTGCTGTGGTTAAAAGTAGGCACCAGCACCACCTGGCCTTTGTTTTTTTTTCCTCCCTGTTTTTTTTTTTTTTTTTGAGATAGTTTCATGATGAAGCTCAGGTTGGCCTTGAACTTGTGGCTATTATCCTGCCTCTACCCCCAAGTGCTGAGTTATAGATATACTCTACCATATCCATCAAAGTCCAAGTTTTTTTCTTCTTTTCTTTCCCCTCTACTTCAGCGAATACTGCATCACAGTGTCAGTTGTATGAACAATGCATTCACATTATTCATTTGATTTAGTTTCCATCACCCAGACTGAATGTTTTTAAGTTACATGGTCAAGATGTTTCTATTGGCACATTTGTCAAGAAATAGTGATCCCCTTTGAGTTGGTTCCTTATTTTCTTCTGGTAATATTTATTCCTGGAAATGTGTGCCTGTGAAGTATAGTTTTTACTAGTGTCATTTCCCACAGAACCAAGAACAAAACAGGATGTGTCTGTCATACACTTACTTGGAAGAATTGCCTTGCTGCAGTGAAAACTCAAACTTGAAATAATCTTAAAGAGATTTTAAGTGAAGTAAAACCTAGCTGCCCCTTTAATGAGAGAGAACTTTTGACAATAGAAATTCAAGTCAAAGGCCTAGAGAAATCCCATTCAGCTTGAAGTTTCTTCTTTGTTATTTTTGGTGAAATCTGCTTGGAAGGAGGAAGCAAGCTGCTTCCTGAACTGAATGAGCCTTAGAATTGGTGCAGGCCACTGTAAACCAACCCAGCACGTGACTCATTTTTTAGTGTACTTGAATAGTGGATCATGAGAATGTGTCTCTTTGGCCTGCATGATTAAAATGTCCTTCTGCTATTTGGTTATGGTAAGTATATGATTGTGTGGAAGTCAACAGGAAAAGACACAGTTGCTGGGAGCTGTTTCTGGAACTGAAAGTCAGTCTCCCAGGGCTTGGGGGGACCTTTAGGAAGGTTCCAGATTAACTCAGGAAGCTGCTTTGAGAATTGAGTTGTTAGTAACATTCAAAGGTCACCTGGGGAAGACAGGAGCCCAGAGCTGGAAGGTGCTGGCGGCGTCCTCCAGAATGGTAGATGAGGCAGAGCTAAGGCTGTCTCCTGACTCATGCAGATGGTCACGGACTATAGTATCTTGTCATCCTGTACACAACATGGCCACACGCGTGTGCTTCCCTCACTGTATTGTCTGGCTGTATTCTATTTACTGACTAAGTGACAGCAGCAGCTTAGAGCCTTCTTGGCACCCTTAGGAATTAGCACTTCTGTGTATGTCAATGCCACTACCTACTTGTACCTTGAACCATTATTTATAGAACTGTCCTTTATTACATGGCTGGAGGGTAGCCCAGGCTGACCTTGAACTCCTGATCCTCCTGCTGCCAACCCGACTCTTACTGCTGTCTGTCTGTCTATCTTTAACTTTTTTGTTGATGTTTTGCCTTTAGTCTCTTCTTGACTTTAGTCATTTTTCCTGTTGTCTTTTCTGGTTTTACTCTCTTCCATCACTTGTTCCTCCCCGCCCCCCAGAGGTATGAGAGTCTAAGCAGTCAGTGGCACATCTTAGCAAGAGAAGGGAAAGGCCGCAGTGTGCTTCTCTTCAGCACATAACATTTGTTGACATCTCTCACGCTTTTCAAGACCTCTGATACTCTTTATTCCACGGGAGCGTATGCCATTAAGCTAAGTTTTTAGAACTGTGACAGTTTCTGAACTTGTGCTTCATGATTATAAAATCCTTTGCCCTCTTTTCCTGTTACACTTTATTATTTCATAAACGTTATTATCACATTAATGGGGATGCAAAGAATAAAACAGAAGGGAGCCCCAAGTCTAATTTGTAACTAAAGATTTGTTTGTGTTTTTAGCAAATGCTTGTCAGAAAATCTGTATGGTGTTTATGCAGGTGAAGCCACAGGTCTGCTTGACTTTGCATTCTCAAATGTAACTTTAAGTGACTGTATAATGTGTCACCCAGTGTGGAGGGGAAGCAATGTGATGGTGTGCCTGCTGGTAGCTTTGTGCACTGTGTGGCTTTATCTCTTTCCATGATGAGTGTCGTCATTGCATTTCACAGATGAGGAAACTGAGCTGAGTTTAGTTCATTTTAGATGTTAGTTGAGTCCTGCTGTGCTTTAGGCCTCCTGCTGAGCCCTGGGATTCAGAGATGGACTGGGCATAGTCCCTCCCTTGAGGAATTCAGAAAATGGTGGAAAAGCAAGTGAGGACTAGAGACGGAACACAGCACACTAAGTGCAGCCAGGACACGGGGGAGGATGCAGGGGACGATGCCGGGGACGCAGGGCCTGTGTTAGCGCTGGTTAGTGCAAGTTTGCTAGGTCAGTGTGAGGGCATCTGGAGCCTGTTAAAACCGAAGGGCGAGAGGCCAAGAGTGAGGCTTGAAGCAAGCAGATGGAGGAGGAGGAACATATTTGAGAAGCATCTGGAAAAAAGTTCGTTCTCTCTCTCTCTCTCTCTCTCTCTCTCTCTCTCTCTCTCTCTCTCTCTCTCTCCCTCTCCCTCTCTCTCTCTCCCTCCCTCCCTCCCTCCCTCCCTCCCTCCCTCCCTCCCTCCCTCCCTCCCTCCCTCCCTCCCTCTCTCTCTCTCTCTCTCTCTCTCTCTCTCTCTCTCTCTCTCTCTCTCTCTCTCTCTCTCCCCTGTGTTTTTGTATTTTGGAGTCAAAGTCTTACTATGCAGCTGTGGCTGGCCTGAAACAGAGCTCTGTCTGCCTCAGTCTCCTAAGTTCTGGAATTAAGGGTGTGTGTCACCATGCCCAGCTAAATATTTTCTTTCCTTCTCAATCTTATAGGAAAAAAGGTGTTTTATATCCTGACCCAACACATACACATACACAAAAACCTTGTTATAAAACCGTATCTGGCTCTATTGTGGTTGGATTAGAATATTTTTCATTCCATTGCAAATGGTTGAATTAATGGTGAAAAGCACTGGTCTCGGGGACAATGTCAGCAGTATTTTGTTATTGGTTTGATGTTAGTGGTGAGGACCTAGATCCTGGTGTGGATGATATTGCAACAGCTGAAATCAGTAATGAGGAGGAGGGGACCAGAGAGGACACGAGGTGGGATGAGTATGAGCCAAGTACATGATGTATGTGTATGTGTGGAATTGCCATAGGTAGAAGGAGCCATTGTGTATGTGTGGAATTGTCATAGGTAGAAGGAGCCATTGGGAGGTAGGGAAGAGTGGTAGTTTGAGAATACTGTATCATCTCTTGTTATCACTGCCTTGTTTTTTCCTTTTTCTCCTCCCCCAGCCCTAGCTATTTTCCTGGATAATGTCTGATGTTTCAAGATTTAGTAAGTCCTCTTGCTTACACTAGGAATCCAGCCATATTTATAACATCATCAGTGTTCTAATGGGTGGAGCTCTGTAACTGGTTTACATAGGAAATCTGTAAATTAGGCAACAAATTGTACTTTTGAGATTTTATTTATAACATCATCAGTGTTCTAATGGGTGGAGATCTGTAACTAATTTACATAGGGAATCTGTAAATTAGGGAACAACTTGTACTTTTGAGATTTTTAAGTTAACACATGTTCAGTGAGATTCTTATGCAGACTGGGCGCTGGTGTCGAATGCCTCAGTATTTCAGCACAGGAGAGGTGGGGGCAGGAGAATCAGTTCAAGATCACTCTTTGCTGCATAGTGAGTTTGAGGCCAGTTTGAACTACATGAGATCCTGTTTCAAAATAAAACAACAAAAAAGGGAAGAAAAGCTTAATGTTCTTTATATATTGAAATAGTTACACAAATAGAGTAACGAGGTGACAGTAGTTAGTTTTGTGTGTGGTGTATTCATAGGTTTCCCTAGCTCCATTTGCATACAGACATAATGGGCAAGCGGTGGGTGTCAAGTTTTGACTGACTTACTAGGCCAGTGGAGGACAACCATCGGTGTTTTATGTGTGCAGCTTTCCCTAGCAATGGGGGCTTCTTTAAAGAAGTACTCTTTTGGAAGTATAAAGAATATTTCCTGCTGGGTGGTGGTGGCATATGCCTTTCATCCCAACGCTTGGGAGTCAGAGGCAGGTGGATCTCTTAAATTTGAGGCCAGCCTGGTCTCCAGAATTAGTTCTACAACAACCAGGGCTGTAATACAGAGAAACCCAGTTTCTAATCCTCCCTGCAAAAAGAGTATTTCCTGAGTTGACCACAACAGTGTGAATAACACAAATGAATACCTATGTTAAAAATACAAAATAATTAGCCAGGTGGTGGTGGCAGAGGCAGGGGGATCTTTGAGTTTGAGGCCAGCCTGGTCTACGGATCGAGTTCCAGAACAGACAAAGCTACAAAAAAACAAAAAAACAAAAAAACCCTGTCTCAAAAAACAAACAAAGAAACAACCCAAAGACAAACCAAAAAAAAAACCTTAAAAGGAAATAATTATTTTTTTCTCCACAGATCGAATACCTGCTTAAGAAACTTACAGAAGCCATGGGAGGAGGTTGGCAACAAGAACAATTTGAACATTACAAAATAAACTTTGATGACAATAAAGATGGCCTTTCTGCGTGGGAACTTATTGAGCTAATTGGAAATGGACAGTTTAGCAAGGGCATGGATCGTCAGACAGTGTCTATGGCCATTAATGAAGTCTTCAATGAGCTTATTTTAGATGTATTGAAACAGGTAAGAGAGTCCATGACACTACTCTCCTTCATCTTTAGAGTTTGATGTTTGAAATGAAATAACTTCCTCCCCTCCCCCCTTCTTTTCTGTATAGATGGTGTAAGTCACTTATACTCCTTAATGATTTAGAACAAAAATAAAGTTTTTATTTGTGCTACGCGACTGAGCTGTATCTCTGGCCCTAGGCTCCCGTTTTAAAGCGTTACTGGCACAGATTTTAAGTCCAGTTAAGAACAGAGAAGTTACTATTTTTGAAGGGACTGTTCAATCAAATTTCCAAACCATTTTTAGAAAGTGCCCTCATACTTTTATAGAATTAGAAAAATACTGTTACCATTAGAAAGAGACTTTAATAAAGCAAACCTGTGTTTAACTGATCAGATTTTTTGTTTTCTCAGCACCCAACACAGTGCCTGATACACATGTAGGAACTAAATACATAGTAAAGCTCTGTCTAGCCTGGAGTCACTATGCAGACCAGCTGTGCCAGGATTGAAGGTGTGCACCACTAAACCTGAGTCTATATGCAGATCTTTCAAACACCTTATGTTATTGTATCAAATAATAACTCCGCTTTTGGATTTTCTTACTCAGCCTCTTTCTTTGTTCAGTTGGTAATTGTTATTGTCTTTGTTCTTTTTTTTTTTTCCTGATGGAGTCCATCGATAACTTGTATAGGGTTTTGATATCACAAGAAAGTATGTGACACAGCTCTGTCCACATACCTTTATGTCCGTTTTGGTGCTAGGAAATCCCATCCATTTCTATTTACCTATAAATATTTCAATAAATATCTTAAAAGGTATGGCGATTTAGGAAAATTCAGTATTAATACCATAGGTTCTGTTATATGTATGTCACTTTCAGAAACTTTCTGAAATGTCTAAGATGACATGCAAATCTTTTTATGTCATCTTGTGGGTTTGACTGTGAGTCATGCCTCTGGCCTTCATAGATTCTCAGAGACTCCAGGCCATGATCCCCATGGGCGAGAGCCATTGACATGTAAGTATTTAGGACCAAGTGTCAGATAGTGGTATAATTAAGACAATGAAAGAAGGACCTACATCAGCTTTAATCTTTCATAGGGTTACATGATGAAAAAAGGCCACAAACGGAAAAACTGGACTGAGCGGTGGTTTGTGTTAAAACCCAACATAATCTCCTACTATGTGAGTGAGGATCTGAAAGATAAGAAGGGGGACATCGTCTTGGATGAAAACTGCTGTGTGGAGGTGAGTGGGGTGTGGCTTCTCTGCATGCTTTCCCTCTGCTTCCCCCTGCTGTCCGCAGGCTTTCTCATCGCTCTTCCAGACCAAGCCTTCAAACAATCCCAAGTGGACATCTCCAGGATAAAGTGACTTCTAAACCAAAAATTAAAGACAGCTAACAGAATGTGTACCTAATACGAATTTGTTTTCTGCCTTATGCTTAGGAACAAAGTATAGGGATTAAATCTGAGAGATTTTATTTAAGGAATTCACTTATTGAGTAAAATCAAGTCATTAATTTTTTTAAAAATAGGTAAGATAATATTGGAAATTATCAATAGACTAAAAGATCTGTGGCATTTTAAGTAAAGCAAGTAGAAGAAAACTAATCATTAAAATTAGGTATTTTGATGATATTTTCTTTTTTGGGAAGATAGGGTCTCATGTAGCTCAGGTTGTATTTGAAGTCACTATGTAGTCAAGGATGGGCTTGAACTCCCCATCCTCCTGTCTCTTCTACCCCAGGTGAAGGGATTACATGTGCTACCATACTTCACCTTGTTTTTTGAGACAAAGACATGTTTATGTTTTTAATTTTGAAATATGATCTCATGTAGGCTGGGTGTTTTTACACCTGCTGAGACTCTGAGCTCAGTCCTTCTACCTCTTTCTACACAGTGTTAAGATTACAGATGTGAGCCCCCGTGCCTGCCTTGAGTGTCTTATTTCATAGCTGTCAACCCTGTAAAGATGTGAAGTCCTCAAGGACCCAGCCTTTGTTGAGTGAGATGGCACTTATCTGTAATCCCAGCACTCCGGAGACTGGAGGATTGTCGGATCTACTTAGATAGGGCTACAAGGCAAGACCTTGTCTTAAAACGTTGGGTTTTTTCTTTATTTGTTTTTAAATTTGATTTGTATATGAACTATAGTATGAATTCTCATTGGTCTGAATAATAAAAACTCAGAGTCAGCTATCAGGGGGGTGAAAGCTAAAAGATCAGAGAAGCAAATTGACCAGCTGATAGAGAGTTCTTGCCTCTTCCAATGCTCAGACCAAAGGGGTGATTCTGTCCTCAGACTGCCCTGCTCCTCAGACTGTGTCCTCAGACTGCCTGCTTCAGACTGCTGCTCAGACTGCCCTGAGGTCCTGTCGTGTCCCCCCCCCCCCCTCCGCCTTATATTCCTCTCTCCGCCCAGCCATGTCCCTTCCTGTCTCCACCTCCTTAGTGGTGGGATTAAAGGCATGCCACTCCAAGTGCTGGGATCACCTTCATGTGAACTGTTTCTCTTTTAGACTGAATCAATTTTGTGTAGCCCAGGGTAGCCTTGAACTCACAGAGATCTGTCTACCCCTGCGTCCTGAGTGCCGGGATTAGAGGTGTGTGCCGCCACTGGCTGGCCTCTATGGGTAAAAAGTGTAGCTATCTCTGCACTCTGATCTTCAAGCAATCTTCATTTGCTAGATCATAAACAAAATACCATCACAATGAACCACTCCTAGTGTCTGTATTTGTTGAAGAACATTTAAAATATGGGAATTCATACCCACCCGTAGAAATGGTGTAGAAATACATTAATGCTCTGGGGTAAGCTGGGCGGACCAACGGGTTTGCTTACATTCAGCTAAACTGAGGCCTACAAAATTACCATAAGCTCTACCATTGTACTCATAAAGATGGAGGCAGAGAACCACAGAGCACCCACAGTAAAACCACAGGTGTAAGAAAAAGCCATAGCAGGCAGAGGTCTCCTATTAAAGTTAGGTGAGTGTCCTTTCCAGGGTTCTAGCAGGGGACCTGCTCAAGAGAAAGAGTTGTTCCCCTGAGAGCAAAGAGCATGAGGCTCTCTTGCGGCACCAGCTGTTACAGTTCTTCCTGTGTAGCTGTGGCATTCCACTCAGGCGTCAATGCAATCATACATGAGGCTGCCTGGCACACAGCATTAGTGAATCAGACATTTGGCATTTGTAGGTGTTTTTCAGTTATGTTTGTATAAATAGTTAAGAAATGAGTTGAAATACATAAGAAGAAAACTTAAGCTGGGTGTGGTGGCACATGCCTGTAATCCTAGCACCTGGGAAGCTGGACCCAAATGTCAAAAGTTCAACATTGGCCTAGTCTACATTGTGAGACCCTGTCTCCATAAACAAACTGATGCTCTTCTGCTGAAGGATTACACTTCCCAGCTTCCCCTGAGGACTGTGGAAGTCATTTCCACCCCCTAGAAGAGACCACATCCCATCTTTCTCTGTGGGCATTTTAGCATCCATACATGGGGGTGACAAAGATGCCCCCTTACCATGAATAAGCATAGTCTTACCTAATAATAATCTAACACAAGAAAGAATAACATGTTACAGAACTAATCATGCTTTTTGTTTTAGTCTCTGCCTGACAAAGATGGGAAGAAGTGTCTTTTCCTAATAAAATGCTTTGAGAAGACCTTTGAAATCAGTGCTTCAGATAAGAAGAAGAAACAAGAGTGGATTCAGGGTAGGACGTTTTTTATTGTTTTCCATGAAAAAACTTGAGAGCAGAACTGGGCACACATTTTCAATCCTAGCACTTTGGTAGTAGACACAGGAGAATCAGGAGCTCTCTACATGGGGGTTCCAAGCCAGCCTGGGCTACTTTAGACCTGCCTAAAAATATAAAAACCACACAAAATGGTGAGTGTTACAATTTTCTGTTTTCAAATCTCCTTATGTCATGGCTATTGCTACATTCGAAAGAAAATCAAGGAAATATGAGTTCCTCCTTTTTTTTGGTCAATTTATTTGCTTACTGACTTTGTGGGAATAAAACTGCATTTTTGGTCTTACTACCCTAACCCTTGAAAAGGTTTTTTTTTTCTTCTCTGTAGGCTTATGAAATGTTAGAGATCATTTTTTTTGAGATTCTGTTCATATGTGAGGCAGAGAAGAGATGTGTGGAGTGGCTTTGAACACATCAAGAGCTTTTTAAGTAGCTCAAGAAACCAGTAACTTGAGGAGAGAGCATTGTGCTAGCATAAAAGGAAGTGAATGATGTGTAGACATGTCCATTTGCTTAAAATTTCTTAGAAGAAACAGAAATGGGTAGCGTTAGTTGCTGATGGCCCAGGAACCCAGAGCTTGGAGGATAGGAGTAGGCAGAGACTTTCCTGAATGTCTGTTCATGCTTCTTGAATTTGAACATTAGGTGTTAGTAATCTAAGAAATTAAACTTAAATGGTTGAAGATACCAAGAGCCAGGTGTGGTGATTTGTGCCTGTGACTCCCGCCCAGGAGGCAGAGGCAGTGGATAGCTGTCAGTTTGAAGCCAGTTGGGGCTACTTAATAGGTTCAGGCCACCCAACTCGGTTGCAGAGTCAAATTCTGTTTCAACAAACCAGAAAAGTTGCTGGAGAGATGGCTCAGTGATTAAGAGAACTGGCTGGTCCTCTAGAAGGCCTGGGTCTGACGTCTAATACTTACGTGGTGGTTTACAACCCTCCATAACTCCAGTCCCAGGGTATCTGACACCCTCCTCTGACCTGTGGGTATCATATATGGTGCACACACAGACTTGTAGGCAAAACACTCATATACATAAAATAAAATGATGTGCATCTGGAATATACATGTGTCTTATGAAGTCCTTTGTGTGCTGTGCTGTGTGTACATTTTCAGTAAATGGTGACGACTGTGATATGTATGTGGGTCACATACAGATAGGGAGGTGGTTTCATAAGACATAGAAGACAGAATCAGGGGAGCAGACTGCCTATCAGAGGCTAGGAACTTTGATTGTCTCCTCCTTAGTGTGTCTTAGTTTTTGTTCTTTTTTAGAGACAGGCTTTCTCTGTGTAATAGCTCTGGTTGTCCTGGAACTAGCTCTGTAGACCAGGCTAGCCTGGAACTTACAGAGATCCACCTGCCTTTGCCTCCTGAGTGCTGGAATTAAGGCCTGAGCCACAACTGCCCAGCGTGTATCTTAGTTTTATTTGGCTTTAAAAACAGTTTGCTATTATTGTTTGTGTGTGAGTACCCATGATGTATTTGTATGGTCACCTGTGGGTCCCAAGGATCATATGGCCTCCAGACTTACCTGCTGAGTCATCTTGTCAGTCCTTATGTAGGAGTAGAGAAGGACCAGGTTCATGGTCTTAGCATTTGGTAACCAAAGACAGCAGGGTTGCTGTGAATTTGAGGACAGACCAAGCTAGGCTACACAGTGAAGCTCTGTCTCAAAAAAACAATTATATGGAAGGGAGTTGAAAGTGTTGTTAAGTTTTTTGGTTTTGTTTTTGTTTGTTTGTTTTGGTTTTTCCAGACAGGGTTCCTGGCTATCCTGGAACTCGCTCTGAGGACCAGGCTGTCCTTGAACACAGGGGTGCCATACATTGTTAAGTGGAGTGTGTGTAAGCACAGGTGTGCAGCTGCAGACCTGCACTTGGAGGAGACGTCAATGAGCATATTCCTCATGTGCGATGCCTCTCGGGCCGCACCTCTGCTCACTGGCAGGATCGGAGTGTGCTAGCACCCCACCCCATCGCCCGAGTGTTCCACACGGAAGTACAATGTTCCTCTTTCTCCTGTCCTAGCCATCCATTCTACTGTCCATCTGTTGAAGCTGGGCAGCCCCCCACCACACAAGGAAGCCCGCCAGCGTCGGAAGGAGCTCCGAAGGAAGCTGCTGGCAGAGCAGGAGGAGCTGGAGCGGCAGATGAAGGCGCTTCAGACCGCCAACGAAGACAAGCAACAGGAGCTGGAGAGCGTGAGGAAGGTGGGTGCAGGACAGAGAGGCCGGGGACACGCAAGGGCAACTCCTGTTTAGTGCTGGGGTGTCACGGCCTTAGGAGCTTTCTTCACCCCCGTACAGTAGGACAAGTTCAGGGACAGTGTGGTGACCTTGGTTCTCAGGTGTGTCCAGCTGCTGGGCCTACTAAAGCCTTGAGCCATCTGTCGTCTGTCTCCTTTGTCCTTAGTGGATGCTGCTGTAGGGTGTAGACGAGCCATTTTTATGCATGTTCACATATGCTCTGATCACTCTGTAGGACACTCACAGAAGTAGAACCGGGTAGAAGCCGAGCCAGATCTACAGTCAGGAAGGCTGTGCTGACGGGAACACCGCCATCTTGAGTGGCGCTGTTCACTCTGCTATAGGGAGACATGTTCTAGGGCTTGGCAGCTACCTGCTGCAGCCAGCCAGGGCGTATTTCAGCTTTACAGACTGTACTTTGTTTAGAACTAGTCATGTGTTTCTGAGAGGAAGCCAGCTGTGCTGTTTACTCTAGGCCCTGTGTTTTGCTGCGCTCAAGGTCTTTTTGTCTTTCAGTGGTTTTCACTGCAATGTTTGTGGGTGCTGCTGTTGTTTTTAAGATAGGGTCTCAATATGTAGCTCTGGCTGACCCAAAGCTGGCTGTGTAGACGAGATCCCCTTGCCCCTGTTTGGGAAAGGCGTGGCCACCATGTCTGGTACTTCTTTGTTTTTGACCTATTTAGAATTCACAGACTGTAGACCAAGGTTTTCCTTTGTGCTGGGTAAAGTTTCAACCTATTTCTTCAAATATTTTTGCTCCCCTTTCACTCTTGTATTCTGTTGAATAGCTCCCTGGCTTCCTGGAGCGTGCAGGTTCTCCAGTGGAGTTCTGTAAGGCTTTTCATTCGGTTCTTGAGCATCACGGACCAGCCAGCCCCATTTGGTTCCTTTAAATTTGCCTCCTTATTGCTATTCTCTGCTCGATGTTATTCCTTCCATTATGTCTTTAACCATGACTTCCTTTTATTCTTTTTTGCATATTTACAGTAATGGCTTTGTAGCTATGCCTCCTGGGCTTCTTCAAAGGCAGTATCTGTTTTTTCCTACTTAGGGGTTACACTTTCCTGTTTCTCATACTTTCTTTAGTTGAAAACTGGATGTTTTAGAAGATAACGTGTTGTTCATAGGAACTATGGATACTGATCCTCAAACCCCTGCCTTCAGTTTGTCATTGTTTGGTTATTTATTTAGTGACTTGGCTGGACTATTTCCTGGACCCTTGTGGCCTTTCAATCTGCTCCTCAGAGACATAGCCATGGCTATCCATGGCCACAGTCACCTGGAATGACCCGCCAAACTGCTCTCCTTCTCTCCTCCCTGTTAAGCTGTCTACTTTTGTTGATGTCACCCTAACTGCTAGAGTTCACTGATTTCTGGATATTTGATTTGTTTTCTGCAGTGACCTCAGAACTAACTAGCCTCACAGTCTGGGGTTAAGTTCAGTCTTTGAGACTTATTTCGACCACATGAGGGCTCTGCTTAGCCAGCTTTCCTGGTTCTGTCAGGCTTAACTAGTCTGGTTGGTTTGCTGCTGCATGGTGCTCCCAGCCTCCTTTTAATTCCTGTAGCCCAAATCTTTATTGTTTTCAACTGTATCCTTAGACTTGTACATTGCACATAACAAAGACACTTCTTTTGGTGAGAGCCACAGAGCCTACTTTCCTCCTTGAGCAAAACTTCCAGGAAAGGCTGGGTATGTGTGACAGCTCATAGCTATAACCCCAGTGCTTGGGAGCTGAGGCAGGAGGTTTGCCAGCTTGGGTGGCGACAGCAAGCAGCAGCAGTCTATACTCCTGCTTTAAGAGCCTCTGCTACCAAGCAGAGGACACAGCCTGCTGTCCTCCATCTTCTCCTGTGGTGCTTTTGCCTCACAGGTCAGTGAGACCCTGGTGATATGTTTGTCTTCTGTAGCCTGGGCTGTGAGCAGCATATAGAGGGCGCCCTTGTCTCTGGTTTCATCTCTCAGGAAGTGAGGGACGTGCCAATGCCTGAAAGACCTAAGATCCAGTTGATTGTCTTTTGTTGCTGTTTTGTTTTCAGTGTTTTTGTTTGTTTGTTTGTGAATACATTGCTTTTGAGGTGGCATCAATCCTGGCACCATGTGCATGCTGGGAAAGTACCTTACACCAAGCCACAAGCCCAGTTCCTCATAGGTTTTCTTAGATGGATATTCTTCTTTGGTGTGTGCCCTTAGGGTAGTCTGCAGAGCTTTACCATGTTTTCTTCTGCTTTTCAAAAATAACTGTTAACCAGTTGTTTGTGTGTGTGAGGGGTGGGAGTGGGGCTTGAGGAAGCTCCCTGTGTCACCCGTCTGGAGGCTGAGCCCTGGTAACAGGGATAGTGAGTGTGCCAGGTGACAGTACCGTGCAGAGAGCCCCAGAACCAGGTCAAACTGCGTAAGTGAGGCTGCAAATGATTATGGCTCAATGGCCACCCTCACATCTCTGCAGAGTTGAGAAGCAAGTCGTTCGTACCTGCTTGTTTTCTGTGCTAACTAGGGAGACTGGATGGCATCCTAGGGTGCCCCACAGCGTGTGTTTAGTTTTTATTGACTGGCTCTTTTCATATGCTTCCACTCTAATGAGCCTGCTTTTCTGGGGGTGGGTGTTTGATTGATTGATTAGAAGCTGGAGGAAGCAGCATCTCGTGCCGCAGATGAGGAAAAGAAACGGCTGCAGACTCAAGCGGAACTACAGACCAGGTTCAGCACCGAGCTGGAGCGGGAGAAGCTGGTAAGGCTGGCAGCTGCTGCACCTGCTACAGGACGCCCTGCGGCCGCTGTGTCCTAACTGTGCTAGCATTTGTAGTGGCTGCTGGGGAGCTGTGTGTTTGTTTGTGCAGTTATCTGTGTATCAGAGGGGTAGAGGTAAAGAGTGGGCACCTTGTTTTCCAGACCCCTGAGCAGAATCGTATGCAGTGCAGTCGTAGATGCTTGGCTAATGTGGTTCCATGTCTTCTTTGCTTTGAGGTGTCCCTGTCATCTGCCATTAATGTTAACCAGGATCCTTTTCATTCTCAAAAGACTCTGGTTCGCACAGTGATGAGCTGTGAGAACGTAAACCTAAATCCATGGCATTTCTCCTCCACAATGAGCAAAGTGTACACTGAGACCTCAGGGCTCTGGTTGCTGTTCTGGCCTTGGCAAGGTCCAGGCTGCTTTGTGAAGTTAGCTGGTTACTGGCGCACATGTCTCCCATGGGGCACCCTGTGCTGAGCCAGCGCCTAGCCATGGTCCTATGTTAAGTGTCACTTGTTGCTTAGAGGTGAGATTCCTGTTTGTGTTGAGGAAGGCAGGTGTGATGTGTGTGTGTGTGAGGATGTCCAGCCGCCCTTCCCCCTTGCCCTGTCTCCCTGAGCACAGGGTTGGTCAGTGTGTGCTTCCTGCATTAGGGGTCATTCTGTCAGCTCTCAGGCTTCTCCTAGTAACACAGTGAGCTGTTAGTGACACAGTTCATAAACTGCAGAGAAAGACACCAAAATGTGTGGTAGTGTGTGTGTCAGGGCCCTGGAGACTGAACCCTGTGTCTCACACATGTTAAGTAAAAACTCTACCAGTAAACTGGCTTTTTGTTTTTTTACGACAGGGATTAAATCCTCTGCAGTCCAGAAGGGACAGCCATGCACTTGTTAAGATATTGGTGCCCCAGCTGGGGCATTGGTGGCGCACGCCTTTAATCCCAGTACTCGGGAGGCAGAGGCAGGTGGATCTCTGAGTTCAAGGCCAGCCTGGTCTACAGAGCGAGTTCCAGGACAGCCCCCAAAACAATACAGAGAAACCCTGTCTCAAAAAAACAAACAAACAAAAACAAAAAGAAAGAAGAAAAAAGACACTGGTGCCCCAGGGATGGGGAAGGAGGTAGAGGTAGCGGGACCTGCTCTGCTCACTCTTACAATGTGCTAAAGAGGTTTTTGACTTTAAAATAGAAAAGAATTTAAAGAGGAATTATACTTCTTAAAAAAAGATCTTGGCTTGCTATATGGAGTACAAAGGACAGAGCATATGCAGATTTTGGGTTGTAGTTGATTTTCTTAGACTCCTAGCACTGGTATTGGGTATATGCTCTCATTCCCTCCATCTTTAGCTCAAGGGTAGAGGTGGGATGGGCACCTAGGGAAGAAGTCGCCTGGATTTAAGCAAGACCGCGGTCCTCTCATCCCTCCAGATCAGACAGCAGATGGAGGAGCAGGTTGCCCAGAAGTCCTCAGAACTGGAACAGTATCTCCAGCGAGTTCGGGAGCTGGAAGACATGTACCTAAAGCTGCAGGAGGCCCTTGAGGATGAGAGGCAGGCCCGGCAGGATGAAGAGACGGTGCGCAAGCTTCAGGCCAGGTGCAGACTGCTCTGCCGCCCCCGTGCTTGTTCGCTTTGCTTGCTCTGGATCCTAACCCTGGCAGAAAGGGAGCCTGAGCCCACGTTGTCCGGGGACTCTGGATGTTGGGCTGGCTGGGTGTGTCCTTTGATCCTCTTGAAGGTCTAAAGAAGGTCCTTGTGCCTGAGAGCAATGTGGTGACTATGTTTGCTGGGGTGTGTTTATTCTGTTCTAGAATGTCTGTCAGCCAGGTTAGCTTTGGTGGAAACTTGGTTTTGTCACTGTGTCCAGACCCACGTGACCCTCGGTGCAGGGGCAGGGTTGCTTCGGGCCAGGCATGGCAGAGGTGTTGTGGATAAGGAGGGAGTATACACTCTCTTTTTTTGCAGTGTGGGATTGGTATTTATAAATCAGGTTTACAGTTGTGAGACTCATATTCTCAGGGAAAGATTTTGATTTGGGTCTTTGTAACATCCGGAGGACAAAGTAAAATGAAGACCCCAGAGTGACGAGAAGTCACTGGTTTAGCCTGCTGAGCTGTTTGCTTCTTTGTGACGCCTTGTGGGAGGCAGTGTAGATGTACCTGAGCCTTGAGCTGTGACACCCCCCTCCCCCGTGTTAGGGAACACTCAGAAGGTGAGCAGTTAGAATTTGTATTACTGCCAGTCTCATGGGGAGAAGCAAAAGATGCTATTTAAACCTTGGGAAGAAAAGGAAAGGACTAATGAGGTTGCTCAGCAGGTAAAAGATAGTTGACTCTATGCAAGCCTGATGTCCCATCCCTGCCAGCCACACAAAGGTAGAAGGAGAGAACTGACTCACGGACCGTCCACACTCACGCCATAGCGCGCGCGCGTGTGTACACACACACACACACACACACACACACACACACACACACACAGTAAGAATTTTTAAAAATATTAAAAATAGAAAACTAAACTGGAAAAGGGGGTTTGCCAAAAGTGATGGGGCTGGCGAGATGGTTCAGTGGGTGAAGCATTTGCCGTCAAGCTTTATGACCTGCGTTTGATCCCTGAGGCCCACGTGTCGGGAGGAGACAACCAACACCCCAGAGCTGATGTTGAATCTTCACACGTGCACCTTGGTGTATAGCCACACGTAAAACAAGCAAGTGACATTAAAAGCCACTTGCTGCATAAGCCTGGTAACCCAAGTCCAATCCACGGAACCCACATAAAGATGGAAGGAGAGAAGCCTCTCCACAGAGTTGTCCTAGCCAGCTACGTGGAGCTGCCCCTGTGCTGTTGACAGTGGCATCAGCAGCTCATTCAGGAGAAGGTGCGAACCCTGTGTCACTTCCAAAGAGTGGCACTCTTGAGTGACGCTAGACATATTTTGAGTCACTGATTTGTTCTGTGCCCGGAGTTTGTAGATTACTCTCAGATACAGAGTCCATGGGGAAAGAAGGCATGCTGTGTTTCGTCATCTTGAAGGGAATGAGATATCACAGCAGAGATTAGGTGGCAGAAGACTGGATAACTCAGAAATTCACTAAACTTGCTGTCTAGCTGCAGCTGACCCTGAACTCCTGATCTTCCCGTCTCCGTCTCCTGAGTGCTGAATCACAGACATGCACCATAAAGGTTACTGGCTATTGAACCCTGAGTTTGTACAAGCTGAGCAAGCACTCAGTGCTACCTGAGCTACCTCTCAGGCCAGGGAATCGATTTTGAATGAGTGGAAGGATCCTCGTGTACCTGGTGAGGCAGTGTGTGCTGCTGCCTCCTCCCAGCTGTTGAAATGCTTTCCACGTGCTTGAAGGCAGCTAGGGCCTGGGTCATAGGTGACAGGTGGCTACTTAATTCCTGTACTTTCAGTCTATATGAATTTAAAGTAGTATTTTACTATGTAGAACTTTGAGTTTTATTTTCAAGACAGGGTTCCTCTGTATAGCCTTGGCTGTCCTGGAACTCACTCTGTAGGCCAGATTGGCCTCAAACTGGCAGAGATCAGCCTGCCTCTGCCTCCCAGTGCTGGAACTAAAGGCGTCTACCACCACTGCCCATTGAACTTTTAGTTTTTATATGTAAAATAAGGGTGATGGCCAGCTTTAGAGTTGTAAAGACGAGGTTAGATATTGCAGACATAGTGTTTTAGCATAAAGTCAGGATGCAGCTTTCTGTTCCTTTATCTCCTCATGCATGGGGAAGATATATTATGTACAGAATAAAGAAAATGTTGGAAGAAATGCTAGAATGATGGTGTTAGGCCAAGGTAATGTCAGAAGAACAAGTAGAGGGGCTGGAGATGGCTCAGGGGTTAAGAGTACTTGCTGCTCTTGTGGAGGCCAGGGTGCAGGTCCCAGCGTCCTCGAGGCCACTCGCAACTGACCCTGCTGCCTTGGCCTCCTGAGCAACTGGGATGACAGGCATGGGCATGCACTTGGCTGATTCCCTTCTCTAGAAGTGAGGAGGCTGAGAATCAAAGGATGGAGATGCCCAGTCCTTAGTCTGAGATTAATTTGCAAACCACGGAAACCAGCTTGGATGAGGGAAAGTAAGAAGATGATTTATGGGAATGTTCTTAAATAGTTCTCCAGTCCCACAGAGGGAAGGTGGCCAGGCCTTGAAGAGTGGCAGGAAACAAGGGGGATGGGCCCAGAGCTGCTGCGGACACAGGCATGGGTGTCGACACCACTGCTGTCCCTGCCTCCAGTAAGAGAAAGTCTTCATTGTCTCTGGTTCTGTGCCAACTGCTTTTGTGTCAGGGTTCCAGGAGGGACAACCGCTCTGCCAAGCTAGTTCTACCATGCTCTGGCGTGTTCTGGGTGGTGGCATCTGTCCTAGGAGGTGGGGGTCTACCCCCCATGAGACCCTACTGTGCTGCTTCTCCAGCTGCATGAAGGCAGCCGAGCCCCCAGAAAGCCTACCCTCCCTCTGTGCGCCAGCCCCCAGTGAAAACACAGAGGCTCTTGCAGCCCCCTTCACTGGTGTCCCCAGAGGGACGCGTCACAGGCACACAATGAACATCACCCTGAGTGCACGTCAGACCGTCTGCAGTGCTGGGCTCCGTGGTGGACGCTGTATTCCAGGAGACTTCTGAGGAGGCCGCATGTGTCCCCAGGGAGATTCAGAGTCTGGCAGGGATGCTGTGGCCCTGGCCTCTTTCCTTGCTGCTGCTACAGAAAGCACTGCAGGTGGCAGTGGCGGCCCTGCTGTGGGACTTGACCCTGTGTGGCTCCTTGTTAGGCTTGTGTCCTGACCATTGCTGGCATCTGGCTACACTATCTGCATCTTGAATTCGGTTTTGGACTGTGTGTTGGTTTACTTATTTAAATACGGATGCAGTTGGCTAATCCAAGCCAGGCTATTATTGCAGCTAACACTTTGGCATCACACATCTGTGTTCGAGTTCATTGTGACCTGTGCAACGCACTTGCAGACACATTGCTTAATCTGTGAGGAGGGCCTAGGTCTCCTGGATCGTTGGTCATGGGTCTTTAGGAGATGAAGAAATGTTCTAACATTGTAGCAGCCAGGCAAGTTGCAGAGCTTGGCCCCATCACCTGGCAGGAGGATGGCTTAAGGCCCCACTTTGTCACCTCAAGTGTGACTACTAATGGCACTTCCATGCACTGTGTGAAACAGCGGGGAAGACACACTTGGCTCAGTTCCTGGCACACGCTCCGCGTTGCCTAAACGGTAGTTTCTTTTTCCTTCACCGAGGGCTAAGACTAAGGACGCTTAGAGCAGGACGTGTGGGCTGCTCCCCAACTTTATGATAGACTCCTTTGGCTGCCAGTCTCCTTGTAAAACGGGGGCGTGGCATTAGATGACTGAGGAAACATACCCTGAAATGCTTTCCCATTTGGATTGGGGGCCCCAGTGGGATGTGACCCCGAGTCTGCTCTGCATCCCAGGTTGCTGGAGGAAGAGTCTTCTAAGAGGGCGGAACTGGAAAGATGGCACCTGGCACAGCAGCAGGCCATCCAGACGACAGAGGCCGAGAAGCAGGAGCTGGAGCAGCAGCGGGTCTTGAAGGAGCAGGCTCTGCAGGAGGCCATGGCGCAGCTGGAGCAGCTGGAGCTCGAGCGGAAACAGGCGCTGGAGCAGTATGAGGTGACTGGACTCACCCTGCACACACCTGTAACTGGCTCCTTAGAAACCCTGACCGGCTGGGGGAGGGGTGGGGCTCTGTACCCACTCTGCAGAGACTTGCAAACAAACAGCAAAACCCTAGCACTCACTTAGAGTCTTAGCATAAGAGAAGAAAGAGGAAACTTTTTCCCCCAGAGGATGGAGGTGTCTGTCCACTTAGGGACCATAGAGGAGCGTGAGGGGGGAGGTTTACACAGTTACAAATGTGACAGAGTCCCCACCAAGCTGCAGAACAAACTCTGAGAACCGTGGGGGTGACAGGTGTAGGCAGCAGCCATTGCCCTACCCTGAGGTAGAGCACCCAGGGGAGGCCACAAATCATTGGAAGGGTGGCTTATAAAAGGAAGTGTTCAGTTGGACTTAGGGTGTCAGTCGTTAGAGTCCACGGTGGGAGAGTGAAGGCATGGAGGCCGGAGAAGCTGAGAGCCCATATCTTGATCTCAAACACAAGGCAGAGAAACACCGGAATGGCATGAGTCGTTTTGAAACCTCAAAGCCCACTCCCAGTGACACACCTCCTCCATCAAGGTCACTGTCCTAATCCTTCCCCAAATAGCTCCACCGACTTGAGACCAAGCATTCAAACATCTGAGTCTCCTTCAAGCCGCCATGACCATGGCTGTCCTGACTGACTGCCAGCAGAGAGAAGGTGCCCCTTCTCCCCGTGTCCTTCAGAACCTGTTGTTGTTGGAGCTGGGGCTGCCAGCTATCGTGAGAGAATTAATATAGCAACAAGACAGGTTGGGGAAGGGCAGGCCTGGAGCAGAGAGGCATAAGCTGACACGGAGGGCCCTGACATCACATGCATGAGGTGAGAAGAGCCTTGGAATCAGATGGCTTGGCTACCAGCCCTGCTCCTGCATGTGACCTTGAACAGACGGCTTAGCTCTCAGAGCCTGAGTTTTTGCCAGTGTGCAGTAGCGGTAATGGTAGCTCCTCCCACTGGAGTGATCCTGATCATTTAACGAGGGAATCCACACGTACACAGTAGGTGCCAGTCCATACTTCTTGGTTCTTAGACTCCTCTTTTGTTCTAGGGCGTTAAAAAGAAGCTAGAGATGGCAACTAACATGACGAAGAGCTGGAAGGACAAAGTGGCCCATCATGAGGGGTTAATACGATTGATAGAACCAGGTAATGATGTGATCTGTTTTAATTTGCTTTCTGTTGTATTTATGGGATTGAGTTGTATTAAAACCACCTGCCTTAGGGGTGCAAAGCCCCTGGTTCCATGCACAGCACCGCGTAAGCTGGGGGTGGGGGCACACACCTGTAACCTAGCACGTGGATCTGAAGTGCAGGGTCGCCCTTGGGATGGCTCACAGGGTGAAGCTCTTGCTCTGCAGGCCTGGCCGCCTGAGTTCAGGTCCTCAGAACCCTCATCAAAACCTGGATGGGGACATGGACATTTGTAATCCCAGGGGCCCTAAGGGGCAGAGAGTCACCTTGAAGGCCAGTAGCTTCCTGTGACTCCTCCTTAGTCAGTGGCCCCAGCTGACCTCCCTACATGTGTCTCACAACTCTTTTGTCTGGTAAGCCTGCTTGGGCATTCCTCAGAGACAAAGTAGAAAAGTTGTTTTGTCCTGGAGTGATGGCAGGTGTGGAGGGTCTATGTGCATTGAAGGTATGCTTATTGCTTAGGTTCAAAGAATCCTCACTTGATCACCAACTGGGGACCCGCAGCGTTCACCCAGGCAGAGCTCGAGGAGAGAGAGAAGAGCTGGAAAGAGAAGAAGACTACGGAGTGACAGCTCTCCCAGTGGCTACCCCAGGCACAATCACATCAGTGAGGAGTCAACTCCATGCCCAGGGCAAGGACACTGGCTTTGCTGCTTCTAACCATCTCCCCTCAGGGCTCCAGCGGGGTCCACACGTTGAGGACACTGTATTTACCTTTTAGAGCTGTCTGAGCTTTCCTGGACGAGAACATAGGCACGGGTGTGGCTGGGGCCACCTTCACTGTCACCTTCTGCGGGCCTGCGGCTGCTGCTCTCACGCCCTCTCTGCATAGGAGGTCAGCTGCCTCCTCAGGCAGGGTATCTCCTCCGCTGACAGGTGACATGGCGCGCCTTCATTGTCGTGCTCTGATGGACCTGGGTATCATGCACTTGGCATGCTTCCTTTCCTGTTCTGTCCTTTCCTCTCCCCTCTCTTCATAGCAAAACGGATCTTGGCCCAGTGTCTCCACCCAGCTCCCTGGACGTTCTGTCCGCGGCCCCTGGTCCATGAGGGGCTAACTTGAGGTCAGCAGTGCCTGGGTAGTGTGGGAGGTTAAATGTGGACACGGTGGGAAGCTGACGGTCCGAGGGCTGGTTAGGGGTAAAGGCGTCAGGGTGATGGCGAGCCCTTGCTTTAGCCAAGCTGGGATTGTGGCTCTCACTAGGATTGTCTCTGCTTTTCCCACCTCCGTGGGTGACCAGGTCATGGTTCCTATGCTTTTTTTTTTTTTTTTTGAGGGTATTGAGGAAGGTTTTCACGGGTAATCTGGTCTGGGATTGAGAATAGTAAGGAAGCCTTCCCATGCTAGTTGGCATCTATAAGCACAGTGACTCCATGGACAGCCACAGTGCTTTCCATTTTAGACAGGAGCAGCGTGATTTCCAGATTACAGAAAAGGTGGATTCAATAACAGAGCAGAGGACCCCGAGTGTCCTGGTCCAGCCTTGCCTTGGGGCAGAGAGGAGGCCATTCCAGACATGCGCAAGTCTAGAGATAGATTTCAGTGTTCCTGGTATTTACATAAGAACTGGATAGGATGCCATAAATCTCTACCTTTTATGACTGGAAAACATTTGCCAATGGAAGTCTTATAAATTTTTAAGATTTTGGGCTGCTTCACTATAATTTTATTTCATGTTTATAGTTGCCTTCATAAAGTTTAGATTTGTATGCAGAACATCACTGTATCATGAACCTTCTTAGCTTAAGCTAACCTGGGCGTGGGTTTCTGCCTGGGCCATTCAATTACCTCATTCACCAGTGTTTTCTTGTCGTTGCTGCTGGTCTATCAGATGAGGGGACTAGGGCTTCCCCAGTGGCTTAATGATGTCTCCTTGGGGACTTCAGTGACCCTGGAGAGAACGAGGAAAAGAAACCGCAAGAAGGTTCTGACTGGTGTGCAATGTCTGGATGGAAGCCGTGGGCCTGGGAGTCCAGGGGAGACTGGGGTGAAAGGGCTGCCATGTCCTGGCCGGCAGACCATTCGTTCCTCCTTAAGCCTGACTTTCTTTAAACACAGCCAGAAGCAGGGTCTGCCTCTGCCATGGCCCTCGTTGTCTGGTCTGGGCGCAAGCCTGAATTCTGCCTGCTTCCCGGTTGTGCAGTGCCGTCTGGGCTGTGCCGAGGTGCCTGCAATCTGTAGACACCGGCTTCAGCAGCACTGTGGCTGGGACGTGAAAGCCCTTCTAAACAGTGGATAAAGAAGGCAGCACAGATGTGCACTCCGCGACTCCCTTTTGGGCAGATGCTTTGATGCTCATGGATCTCTCCTGATCCTTGCCGTGGCTTCAGCTGAGTGCCTATTGACCCCTCGCCTCACCTCTGTAATAGCTACAGGAAACTTCAGGAGTGCCTGTCTGCATGTTCACTGTAATCAGCCCTTCCTACAGCTAGAGATAAGATTATCTGCAGGAATTGTGAATGAAAAACATTTTGAAATCTGTTTTGGAATCTGCTGTATTAGGAAGGAACAAAATATTTATAATTTTCCAGCATTCTTATCTAAACTTTGTACAATGTAATGTGCTCAACTTTCTTAATTTTTTGCTAATTTTTCTAAGATATTAAAATGTTTTCTATGGGTTTTTTGTTTTGTTTTTAGCACAGTGAATTCAATAAGAAAATTAAGCATACCAGAACATTATACATTTTAAAACTGGTTTAATAAAATTGTAAAGGGTGTGTGTGTGTGTGTGTGTGTGTGTGTGTGAAACTGGAAGCTTCTGTAAGGCAAAGGACACAGTCAACAAGACAAAATGGCAGCCCACAGAATGGGAAAAGATCTTCACCAACCCCACATCTGACAGAGGACTGATCTTTAAAATATAAAAAGAACTCAAGAAACTAGAAATCAAGCTACCAATGAAAAAATGGGATACAGATCTAAACAGGATTCTCAGCAGAACAATCTCTACTGACAGAAAGACACTTAAGGAAATGCTCAGCATCTTTAGTCATCAGGGAAATAAATCAAAAACCACTCTGAGATTCCATCTTACACTGATCAGAATAGCTAAGATCAAAAACACGAATGACAGTTTATGCTGGAGAGGATGTGGAGAAAGGGAAACACTCATCCATTGCTTGTGGGAGTGCCAACTTGTGCAGCTGCTGTGGAAATCAGTATGGTGGTTTCTCAGAAAATTAGGGTTCAACTTACCTCAAGACCCTACAATACCACTGTTGGACATATACCCAAAGGAGGCACATTCACACCACAAGGACATTTGCTCAACTATGTTAATAGCAGCATTATTTGTAATAGCCAGATCTTGAAAACAGCTTAGATGCCCCTCAACTGAAGAATGGATAAAGAAAATGTGGTATATTTACACAATGGAGTACTCCTCAATGGTAAGAAATAATGGCATCCTAAAATTCACAGGCAAATGGACAGAACTAGAAAAAACCATCCTAAGTGAGGTAACCCAAAACCAGAAAGACAAATACAGTATGTACTCACTCATAAGTGGATACCAGACATAAAGCAAAAGATACCCAGCCTACATTCCATAATCTCAGAAAAACTCCCTCTTCCAGAAACAGATGGAAGCAGATGCAGAAATCCACAACTAACCAGTGGGCAAAGCTCCTGGAGTACAGTCGAAGTGAGGGAGGAGCAATAATATGAACAAAGGAGTCAAGACCATGATGGGGAAACCCACAGAATCAGCTGACCCAAGCTGGTGAGAGGTCACTGACTCAGGTCTGACAGATGGGGAAATCTGCATAAGACCAAACTAGACTCCCTTAATATAGGTGACAATGGTGTGACTGGGACAATATATGAGGCTACTGGCAGTGGGTCCAAGATCTAACACTAAAGCACAAACTGACCTAGTGGAGCCCATTCTACATGGAGAGATACCTTGCCCAGCCTACACACAGGTGTGGGGATGGAAGGGTGTCTTGGTTTTGCCTCAACTAGATGATGGAACAGACTTAGTAGGCTTCCTAGGGGAGGCCTTACCCTCTCCGTGGAGCAGGTGGGAGGAGAGGAGGGAGGGGGAATTGGGATTGGAATGTAAAAAAAAATAATAAAATAAAAAATAAAAACGGTAAAGTGTGTGAGTTCGCTAATGTTCATTTTCATACAATCCTGTGGATGTGGTTTAGGGACACTCCTGAAAACACTGGGTTTGGGAGTCAAGACCTCAAGTAGTTAGCTGTGACCTCATGTTTGGTGTTTGAGTCACGAATGTGGGAAACTTTGGTGGATGTGTCAGCTCAGGAGCCCTACAGAGCTGACTTCTCTTCATTGCCGCTGTCACCACGAGCCTCTTTCTCTCTCTCTCTTCTCGTTTCCTTTGTGTCTTTTCTCTTTCACTAGAATAAACGGTGTAGTTTTCTATTTGGGTTTACATGGTCCCCAAGATTGAAACTCTGACTGTAGATGAAGAAGGCTTCCATTTAGCTTGGCTGTGTGTGGGCAAACTGGTCTTCCTCTCAGGGATGAGGGGGGAGTGAGTGTTTGTAAGACTGTCCTCTCTCTGTTGCAGTGGTCCTCAAGTAGGGGCACTTGTTCCTGGGGGGGACATTTGGCAGTGTCTGGAGACATTTGTGGTTTTCATGACTGGAAGGAGTGTTGCTGGCTTCTGTGGGTGCCTTGCATCACCCCAGCTTGGAGGGGAGGGTTGTTAATTCCGGTTGAGCCTCATTGACCCTTCTGAGGTTTCCGAGTCACTGGTCTTGGGCAGTGGGCACATTTGTGGTGGACACTAATTCCAACCCTAGTCCAGACTCGGCCTCCCTTCCCAGTTTCCACCACACCAGTGCAGACCCTGGCCTGCCAGCGCTGTGTCCTCAGGAGTGATGGCCTTCCTCTTTGCCTCCTCCAGCTGAGAGGGCCAGGAAGATGGTAGGAAGGGGAAATGGAGAGTTCTGTCCAGCTGCCCTCATTCGGCCAGATCCCGCTCCCCCATTTGAAGCCCCATTCCCCACAGCTCTCCCCGCACACCTGCAGCCTAAGCTGGGTTTCTGCAGGTGGCATCCGTGGGCCTCACTTTCAGTGCTGCTCTGTTCTCAGCCAGGCGTGTCCCAGGGGCAAGGCCCCTCACATGCTGCCTCAGACCAGCTGCCACCTCCATGCTCACCTTCGAATCTGTCCAACGGGAGTTTCTGGCCTAGGCTGTCAGACCGGTGTTTTGTTCCTAGGGGAGAGCATCCGGGTCTGAAACAAGTGATTACACAGAACATGGACTATGGAGAAGAGGCCCGAGGCCCTCACTCTGCTGAACTGGAAGCAGCAGGTGTTTTCCCAGAGTACTCAGTTGGGAAGGAGTCTGGGCACGAGTCACATGGATCTCGGTTTAGTTGTAGCACTGACGCAGGGTGGCTAGTTAGGAAATAGAGGGGACATGAGAAGAGAGGACAGCTCCCCCTAGCCCCTACTTCAAAACACACCTATTTCTGCGCTTCACTCTCTTGGACTGACCCAGGACTTTCTGACTACTGAGGCTACCTGCAGTGGAACAGTGCCCCCTTCTGAGAAACACCTCCCATGGGATGAACGTGGCTTCTGAGCCAGTCTTCAGTCCACTCTCTGGCTCCCTAGGTTTTATCTACAGGCACCTCCTCCAGCCACACAGAGCGTGCCTATAGGAAGTCTCCTCAAGGGTAACTTAGGGTAAGGGCTTGAAGAAAGGGGTTCAGAGAAGCTGGGACACAAAAGGGGTTGCACGAGTTCATCCTCCCTCAATACCTGAACTTACAGGACTCCCGGCCTGTGGGTGGCTGCCACGGAAGCGTTCAGGGCAGGGACTGTAGCCAGCATGGCCTTGCCCTTCTCTCCCGTTAGAGCACATTCCTAAAGCCAGTCCCCAAGGGCTGTTCCCTTATTTGACAGCCTCCTCCTGAGACTGACCACCAAGATTCAGCTATCAAAGTCCTAAAGTTCAATCAAAAACCCCTTTGGCTTACCTAATTAACATGTCCAATTAAGTCTAACCGTCATTCTAATTCAGGACTTCCCCTTTTACCTTTATAAGCTGCCATTTGCCTATGGGGCACATCTGCCTCCTCTGTCAGAGACAGCCCTGTGCTCCCAGGACGAATCCCCCTCCCCCTTTCTCCCCTCTCCTTGTCCCCCTTTTCCAGCCTGTCTCCTGTCTTTGTCTCTTATCCCTGCCCTCTGCCCTCTTTGTGCTGAGAACTTGGTCTTGGGGGGTCTGGAGCCAACTTTGAGGTTCCCTTCACTCGGGTGCGTCCCTTCCCTAAGCATGACTGTCCTCAAGACCGTTCTGTCTTTCTGCCTTGTCAGTAAACTCATTGCCTCCCATGAGGTTTGCTTCTTAGACTTTGATCTGTCCTTAAGGATTTCACACGTTTACAGTGTGTCCTGATCATACCCACCCCGACTGCCTGCCCCCCACTCCCCACAGGTACCCCAACATGCTCCTCCTCTCCCACCTTTTTTTTCCCCTGAGCCTGGTCTAGTTAGTGCTGCTGCTGCTGGCTTGTTCTCGTGCCAGTGACAGGGCTGCAGCGAGTTCTGAGCGCAGTGGCCGGGTCTTGGCCAGGGCAGCGTTGCACAGCTCTCCACCCCACCCTCGCTTCCATGGTGTTCCCTGGGCCATGGCGTGGGTAGGAGAGTCTTCGCTGCCCGCTGCAGAGAGAGGCCTCTCTGGCCACGGCTGAGAACAGCACCCATTTGCGGAGTAGATGTCTGGCCCAGCTGCACTGAATTGAAAGGTGACAGACTCCACTCAGTCCAGTGTTTGATTGGCTGGTGGGCAAAGTTCCGTTCTGCAACGAAGCCAAAACCCATCTGTAGCCAAGCAGAGCCTCCGGCTCCCTCCAGGCCCTAAGGGACATGCCTTAGGTTGCTGGGGACAGTTCCAGCTCACAGTGTCATTTAGAAGGGTTAGACTCAGGCTGTGTGTTCTTAGGATGACACTGCACAGATGATGTCCCCAGCATGTCACCCCTGGAGCACAGCATGGCCATCTGCCCCTTAAAGGCTGGTGGGCCACTCCCCACTCCCCTGCCCCACGTGCTGTCAGGGCACATGTTTTCGAGCAGTCACGTGGAGAGGGGCTTTCCACCAAAGCTAGGCCAGGCCTCGTGGGGATTTCTGGCAGGTGGCTGTAGTAGGTCACTCAGGCAAGGCGTCTGGAGAGTTAGGGAAATATCTTAGGTGCTTTTTATGGCCCCACAGTCAGGTGTCCAACTTCTCAGTTGTCCAAGCAGGAATGAACCAAAGAGCCCCAGAGTGAGGCCCAGAAATACATAGTTCCTGTGATCCCACAGCTTACCTCCCAGACCCCAGCAAGTCCCCAAGGACGCACACCTCTGCTCCTGCACCTGGGATTGCCTGGGTGGCCACTGCAGCTTTGAGCCATGGTAAGCGATGCCTTGTCGTTCGGGGGCTAACCTGCTGCTCTGAAGGCCACCTCTGATGTGCCCTCAGCAGCCGTGCCGAGTGCAGAAGCCCCTACATGCCAGCCCAGAGCTCCACACGCAGGCAGCTTCCCCAGCACACGCATAAAAGCCTAGTCCTCAAACATGTCCTGAGCTCCACCAGAGCTTGGGTAGACAGCAGGGCTGGTCTGCACTTTAGCTCTGGCTGTGGGAACAGCATCTAC